CACACACACACACACACACACACACACACACACACACACACACACACACACACACACACACACACGAAAAGAAAAACTTAAAAGAATATAAGAAGATTACATCCAATTTAAGTTAGGAATTCAAAAACAATACTGACTAAAACTCACTCACTGCTGCCTTCTATAGAAATTCRAACAGTTGTTCAGATGTGCGGTGCATTATATTATCAACAGCAAGCACATTTTGAAGTGYAGCATCAGTTTTACCCAGGCCAAATCATATTTTTAAACTCAGACCCTTACGGTCATTTGTGTCGTGTCCAGAAATGGACAAATTATGTTAGTAACGTAACTATTGTCTTTTGTATTTTAACAAATTCATTTACGTTTTTTTATTATTCATAGAGGGACATCAACAACCAGCTGTTATTTAAAAACCTTGAAGCCTCATYGGAAACAGGATGAATAAAGATGAAACTTTATTCTTTCTCTCACTTGTCAAAAGTACCTCTGAGAAGGCTGTTCCAGCATGAAAATATAAATATAATAGATAATAACTATATAAATACGTTTTAAAGTGGCACACTCATGATTGAAAGCAAAGTTACCTGAACCTCACACTTTTGATTTTCAGACACACTTTTTTTGACCTTTTTTCTGTAATTGTTGCAATCTAAATGTGCACTGCACAAAAGACTGTTAAAATGTAAAAATATTTATTTTACTGTTGTTGTACCAAAACCTGTTTCTATACATACCGTACAACTGTGTCACATGTGTAACAAATCTTAACACTATTTCGGTAGCGTTTGGTCTTGAACGCACCGCTGACCATAAAAGCAGACATTAAATGTGACTGGACAGTCATGTTGAGATGATGTTTCCGTGGACRCGGAAGCGGTAAAGACACGTGTATTCGACTTGACCCCAGTTACTGAGAACTCGCAGCTCCACGAACCGATAAACCACATCGCTCGGCTTCTGGGGTGAGAGCGGTGACAGCACAGGAGCAGAGGAACGAGGAGAGGAAAAAGGGAAAAGCACAAAAAAAAGACAAATATTAAATAACTGCGTGTTGAGCTTTAAAACTTTCTAAATGCGTCTTCACAGTTTTCATACAGAGGAGGAGGTATTTACTCTACATCAGGGCTATTCAACTAAATTGATCCGGGGGCCACAGTTAYTGCTGAATGACAGCTGAGGGGCCGAACATCCAGCAATTAAAGTTATGTAAATAAACCAAGTATTACAAAGATCTGTTACCTTTGAATTAGTTTATTTTGCTGCATTTAATCATGAATACAACATATAGAATCTTAATAAATGTAGTGATAGTAAAACAATATTAAAAACAAAAATAACACMTAATGCCAACTATTTAACACAAATATTATTTTGACATCTCTGACTTGCCTAATTTTTAAAGCAAATTTATTTTAATTTTTACAGTTTTATCTTCAACTGTTTGTAGTTTTAACTGTTTTGGTTGTTCATAGAAATGTTTTTATCAGCTTCTAGCCAAGATTATAACATTTCTGTAGATACCAACATATCTATGTTTAAMTAAAATAACTTTAATTAAAGTAGAAAACCGGGGTTTTGGGCTTAAGAGATGAACTATTTGGTGGACCGAGCTTTGGTCACTTGCGGGCCAGATTTGGCCCATGGGCCACCAGTTGAATAGCCCTGCTTTACATTTTTTAAAATTATTAGGTAAAGAAAACTTGGATATATCRTTTAGGTAGACGTTTAAACTCACAGGCAGCTCAAAAGTCTGAGTTGATTCTCCATCTTCATTATAGGTGAACGTCCCGAGCAGTGTTCCTTCTTCGGTGTCGTTTTTCATCCCCTTGTATAAAAACAAAACAATTGTGTAAAAGTTAAAAACTGCTTGCATCCATACAGTTCCTTTAAAAGACTTTCAATGTCTTTGTTTCTGCTTTTATATCATTTATTCATTTGTGGGCACAGTTCTGTTTGTCAGCTTATTGTGGAACTAGCTTCTGTTGTATAAAACCTCTATTTTTATGCCATTTATCCCAAAATTAAATAAAAACTATCCYCTCTTACAGTTGGAAATTAAACCAATAGAAAACTACAGGTTCATGTCAGTCTTTAACTGGAAGGAGCTGAAGATTTGTGACGCACTATCTTACCGGTTAGCATCAGCTTCCACTAATTTTACACTAAGTTTAGCAGCTTAATGTTAAGCTAAGATTTTAGGCAGATCAGTGGTTAATGATTGAAGCTAACTTTTTGGTTAGCTGTGCCCACCGATGCATTTATTATTACAATGAAATATAAACGCTGGTTTCCCATACACCAGACCAAGGAGACTCACATAGACTTCAAAGTCTTTGGGAGCAGAGTCGATGCGGCCGGTGGGGGAGTTGTAGCGAGGCAGGTGGTCCAGAGTCACATGGGTTATCCTGATGGGATGTGACAGAGAAATCACAAGAGTGCCCTGGACCCCGTGGAACGCCCAACACTTCCCTGGCAGCAGGACTTGGTAACCCTGTTAGAGAAGGAGACAAAAAAAAATGGCAGCGTTAGTAAAACTGCATCGACTCATCTTTGCTGCTGTTGATCTGACATAAAGGAATGTACCTGGATAACAGTGCGGGGGCTTTCAGAGGGATACCAAAGAGGAAAACCGAAAAGAGTCACGCAGGCTGAGCGAATACGATACGTCTCTGAACACCTGGTGCTGACAACACTGGCCCCTGCACACAGAAAAACAACGCATTAAAAGAAAAAACATGTATGGCTTTGTTGAACCTATTAACCTTTCTTAAAATAAAAATATGCTTTTAATTAACAACATCATATTTAAAACCACTTATTTTTTTGTATAATGCTACTAACAAGAAGGACCAACCAGTGGACAAAAAAAAAAAATACAAACTTATGCTGAAAACTTCTGGCTGTTTTATGTCCTAAATATGAAAGAATGCACAGATTATGTGCAAATCAGAGTTGGACAGTTGCAGGATTAATTAAAATTTTTATCCTAACATTTCTGACCTTGCGTTTCCAGAGCAAAGTCGGCCATTTTGTCGGCCATGGGGCGCCCACACTCTGTGCAGCTTCCTTTGTCAGCCAGCCTGATCACATCCTGCTGCTGATACACAAAACTAGTGTGATGTAAGCAAAATATAGATGCACAAACCTACTAACTTACTCATGAATAATCTAAGAGAGCAGAAACGACTCCAACAAGAGCCTTACAGGCTGATCACAGCATTTATTTAAGTACCTTAATGCGATCAGAGAGCCATTTCTCCATGGCCTGTTGGAGCTCTGGGGTGAGCTGATTTTTGATGGGAGGCTCGCTGATGTCAGGACACGGGGTCGGAGGAGGCATCTGCTGGATGGATGACAACTCCTGGGACAGCTGCAGGACAAAGGGAGTCACAATAAATAAATAAATAAATAAATAAATAAATAAACAAACAAACAAACATGCACTGGGTTGGTATAAAAGCGCTGCAAAAACCTTGAAATCATCAATATTTTCACGTCTATATCAACAAGGTTACCTTGGCATTCTGGGCCTCCAAAGTTTGGATTTTGAGGCTGAGACTTGTAGCAGCAGAGCGGCTGTCCGTCTGGTATTCTGCTATCTGCTTGTCCAGCCCAGAAACCTCCTGCTCCACATGCCGCCGGATGTCTGAGTCCACCGCCTCGAGCTTGGCTCTCATAACTTTCACATCCAGCTCTTGTCTCGCCCTCATCTGAACACCACATTTGTCTTTAGTGAGAATTATTTTGTTGGGAAGGAATGAAGTTATCCTAAATATCACAGTTTCATGTAGTTTGTGTTAAAAGTAAATGAAAGTGATTATCTGTTTCTTAGGATTATCTCCAATTAACAACACAGTAAGAAGTAGCTTGGACTTTGGAGCTATTCTTTAAAAAAGATTATGTTCCAAAGGAGTTAAAGGGGTCTTTAAATTCCGATGGGAGAGTTAGCAACAAACAATCGTATGGTGCAGTTTCACTTCAGCAACACTAGATGTCTCTGTAATCAAACCCCAGTTGTGTTGCAATCAGGAGGAATGACAAACTCAACTTGTTTATTATGACACCCCTTAGYAAATACCAGAGATCAATAACCACTGCTTTTTATTATCTACATCTTCCTAAAAGTATGTAGATAATAAAAACAGCAACTTATTTAGAAAGCCCTTTAAAACACCTCCAATTTTTTTTGTAAAAATAAAATTTAATACAGTAAAAACAAATGCTCAACAATAAAATACAAAAAGTACAAAAAACAAAAGAAAAAACATAATAATTTTGACCAATTAGTTGATACGGTAAAATTAGCCTATTTCTTTTTCCATTTAATTGTATCAGTAATTGAATTTACATGTGATTATTCCTCCAGTCATCATAGTGTCTCATTAGCAAATACAGACATAAAACACAAGGTTTTTCACATTGTCACGTTCACATAAACAATGAAACTAATGTAGCTCCCATTTAATACATTTTTATTCAAAATGTACCTTATAGCACTTGTCACTTTTAAAGGTCTGAATAATTAAATTTACAGAGGAAAAGGAAGAAACGCAGGAAGCACAAATTGAAATATACTCTAACCTGAGAGAGAAGATGTTCCTGCTTAAGCTGAAGTTCCACCTGCAACAAATATATTTAAATATATGTTATACTAAAAACACAACTTTTGAMACAAGGTATAAAACTTTAAAACCCTTCTCACACATTTCATTAAGGTTTACTCAAAAGTCTGTAATTTTTGTTCTTTAAACTCAGAGGTACCAAATCAGACTCAATCATAAAAGATCCTATGTTGCAGTTAAGATGCAAATCTTTTATTCACAATGTGACACTGATCAATAAAATAACGTATATATTTTTAAATCAGTTGTGCTAATTGTTGATATGTTGCTTTCGTCTTACCAGAAAATGTTGCATCTTTGCTTCTACAGCAGCAGATATGACAGCAGGATCCTAAAACAAAGAAGACATGTTGAATACAATGGAAGTTACTGGAAAGACACAATATTATTTGGTGAGCAAAGCTAAAATGAAGTGAATTTATTATAAATATAATTTATAGCTTCAACTTTATGCTGAGTGTTCCTTAAAACAGTGTCATTAATTCACTCCACATGTTTGAGTCCCTTTAAAATGTTAAAAATGCAGTTTTCTCATTAATAGGAGGAACCACTGATTCTAAAACAAGCCCTCTTACTAAATCGCTTGTGTTTGACACTGGTTACTTTTACGCAAACTTAGCTAACGTGGGCTGAAGTTCAGTCTTAAAAGCCTTGGTGTACATCTGTTCTCCAGTGAAACTAACTGTTGTGTAGGTGTCTGCATGCAGAAAACATTAACAAGAGAAACTGTTCCATCTGTGACAAACAAACAAACCAAGACAGACACAGAGTCGTACCACAGGTGAATGGAGGATGTTGGGAGGAGGAAGACTGGTGGGGGTAACTGGTTGACTCTGGGGTTCTGTCAGTGATGGGGTCTTTGTGACAGTCGTGTGGGAGATGAAAGAGGTGAACAAAGGGAAGAGCAACCAAATGCCTGGAGGACAAAGTGGGGACAACGCCTTAAGAAAAGCAAATATAAACACACAAAGTCTCAATCACCTAACTCTGACATCAAAAGAAATGTTCAACTTGACTGTGTCACACTCGGTGACCCCAGACTACAAATACAGCACAAAAGCAGAGCTGCTTGAGTCAAAAACATTTTGCGGTGKATCCGAACACCTTTTCTTCTTTCCTGGTGAAAAGAAATCTCCCCAAACGTCTTTTAAAAGTGACATCTTCAAAGCTTGAATGTGTTTAATGTTAATGTTACTTACATAGAAGTAAGAAGAAGAGGAGCAGAACCAGAACACAGGCCTTCTTCATCCTGTTACTGAGCGACTTATTAGCTGCAAGGAAGAGAAACAATGTTTGTTTACAGGGATTTCCTTTAAACCAGAACCAAAAATGACATGAAGCAATTTTAAAAACAAACAAACTGGCATTAGAAAGCAATGTATAATGCTCAGTTACATGTTAAATGTTGGTATTTGCGAACATTTTACAGGAAAACTTTGGCCAAAGAGGATTAAACTGTTCAAACGTGTGCAGACTTGAACAGATAACATACCTGAATCTCTCAGATGAAGCATTTTCAAATGTAACACAACAGCCATTACTGAGGCTGAATCTGCCCAAAACAAACAGATTATTATTCTCTGGTAGCACAAWGAAAAAACACATGATAAAGGAATCCATGATTAGATGTAACATTAGACTTTATTTAATAAACATATTTTAACTGTAAAATAAAGACTGTAAAAATACTGTAGGCTGTTCAGCTTTTATCATTTTTAAACTACAAGTTTAAAAATATATTACACGGATGGGGCCATTTTATTTACACGCAAAGCATTCTGGGTAAATAATGACGTGGATAGGTCCTTGGTGTGAGGCTGCTAAGCGAGCTATAGCCACCCTGAAGGTTAATCTCTGACAATATCTGATGATCGACTCTTTTAAATGAAACCAGAGGGGAGAAGGTAGAAATGACTCAGCCTGTAACTGAAAATATGGATGGAGGACCTCAGTTTAGCTTGTTTGTCGTGCTAGCACCGAGCTAATACATATAAGGCAATATAGCGTCAGCGCTAGCGCAAACGCTAACAGGCTAAGCTGAGGTTCTTCTTCCATGAAGCAGCTCTGTTGTCCTCCATCCATATTTTCAGTTACAGGCTGAGTCATTTCTACCTTCTCCTCTCTGTCAACGCTCTCTGGTTTCATTTAAAAGAGTCGATCATCAGATATTGTCCAAGATTAACCTTCAGGGTGGGGATATACAGTAGCTCGCTCACACCGAGGACCTATCCACATCATCATTTACCTAGAATGCTTTGTGTGTAAATAAAATGGCTCTGTCCGTGTAAAAATATGTTTTTAAAATTTTACAAAACTAAACAGCCTACAGTATTTTTACAGTCTTTATTTTACAGTTAAAATATATGTTTATCAAATAAAGTATAATGTTACAACTAATCTGGGATCCCTATAAGAAAGAGGCGCTCACCCATCAAACTGGAAAAGGCACTCCTGACTCTGCTTCTGTATCCAGGACTGGGAGCCCCACTGCCGGTGCCGCTGGTTTTACCGGTGACTGGTAACGGCTTCCTGTAGGTGCCCTCAGACGACGAGTACCCCGAGCTGTCCACGCCGCTTTGGCCCAGCTCCTTGTTGTTGGCTCTGCAGTGAAGAGCCGGCGCACCGGAGCTGAAGAGGCCAGCGCGAGGGCTCTGCTCTGGGGTGGCTGAGGAGCACCGTGCGGGCGTCTGACAACGGGAGGGTGATGGAGCCAAGGCGGGCCGAGGGGTGGCCGTGGTGGGGGTGTAAGGTACGGTCCTCATGGTGGGCGGAGTCTGACTGCTCGAGGTGCTACTTGTCAGACTCACACCTGTAAGGCACATCAGAGATGAGGATGAACTATAAAATGAGGAGACTAACTTTGTTTTCTTAACAACAGGTTATGATCAATGCAGCTTTTATAGTTATTAGTTTAGTAATAAGGAAATATARTTTACATTTACTGTGCCATCTAAAACTTTAAATTATTTGGTAGTGTAGTCTTCAGTGTCTGGAGGCCGGGGTCATACTTACCTGCAGTGACAGGTGCCTCAGGGCTAACACAACTAGCATTGTTGTTGGCTCTAGTGGGGGTTCGAGAGCCAGATTTCCGATTCCCTGACTTCTTCTTGAAAACCCTAAAGAGCAAAATAGCATTAGGGGGAAAAAAAGACAAAAACTCTTGTGAATGAAGTTGTTAAGCAGATTTGTCATGAAGGATCCTGAATTTGTGTCCCTACACAGAGTAACTTACTTGACAGGGTTTTCTCTGTAGGAAATGGTTGTCACACTGCTTGAATCAGATTCTTCATCTGAATTGTAGTACCCGCCGGACACCAGGCGAGAGCTTCGACGAGACATGGCTGAAACACGACAAACAAGGGTAGGGGGGGGTTGCTTATTATTTTCATTCATCTTTAAAACACATTATTGTCTCTGATTTTGAAATTTTGACAGGTGGTCAACTCAACACAAGTAATTGATGCACATCAAGATACCCTTTTTTACTGATGTAACGGAGAAGTTCAGAACACTGAGCATTTCTAATCTCGTGTCCTTCATCCGAGGGACACAAAGGTTTGAATGAAGCTCAGTGTCTTTTTGGAGAGAGCAATGGGCCCACAGTGATGGGTTCTTTATCCATTCTCACTCATCATAAACCATACTGACGTCTTGTTACCTCCGCCAAGGGCGAGGTAATGTTTTCGGTTGCATGCATGCGTACGTCCGTCCGTCCTTCTGCCTGTGGACAACATTACTCAAAAACTTGWGGACGGATTGTTATGACATTTTTAACAAATGTGGGTGCTGAGCCAAGGAACAGACCTTTAAATTTTGGTGATGTTCCAGATCACGATGCGGATACARGAATTGTTTTTCTTTTAACACTCTGAGATCGGCAAAGCTGTGATGCTTTCACAGGGCTTCCGCAAAAAACAGTGAGCTGGATTGGACAGCATGGACTTCAAACTTTATAAAAGTTATGTTAAAACCACATTTAATGATGAATAATTTTTGCCATAATATGCGCATTTACAGAATGTTTTGTGACCAGGAAGTGCGTGACTGCACCATGAAACCTATTTTTCCCATTTTCTCAAACATGCCACATTTCCGAAACAACCAATCAAAACAATTTCTCGCTACTTGGCTTGTAAACAGAGAGCTGCCAGGCCTCAAAGTTTGGGGATGGTGGGGAGCCAGGAAGCACTTTATAAAGAGAGTCAAACCATTACAAACTCATACAAGGGGATAAAACAGACGTTTTACTCTGTGAAATGTGATTGATGAAACCTTTGGAGCTTAATCCGACACCAGTTTGATGATGAATAACGTTGGGTGATGAGTCTGACTTTTTTTTTTTTTTCCACATTGGACTCCACAGAGAAGAAATCCCTTGCATACTGCCTGCTTAAATGTTTGCCACGTCAGAACTTATTCTGCAAATGTGTTTCCATCKCTGCTTTTGTGCATTAATTCTATTACAGGATGGGGGAAATTGGTCTTGGCGGAGGTTTGCGCTCTCCAAGTGCCTCTAGTTACATCTAGAAYAGAGTATTTCTAAGTAAGTGTGCACCAATTTCCGTGTTCTGGCCGAATACCGATCTTTAAAAAGCCTGACCTGCTGATTCAAACTCTGGCTCATACCGATATTTTTTAACAACTAACACATCAGGTGTTATAAGGTCACAAGACACCTTCAATATTCCAGTCTTATTTTGTTGAAAAACATTGGACAACCCCCTTGAAACAAAACAAAATTGTTTAAACGGTACATAAAGTAGTGATCACAGCAAAGCAAAAGGGGATAGAGGCTGATTTTTAGATCTTTGTAGAGGCAGACGAGAAGTCCATCTTTTACACTGATCTTATCTAAGTGTCATCTGATCTCCGATATTTAAGGAAATTGGCCGGCCGATTTATCAGTGTGCCTCTATTTCTGTCTAATAAGATACAAAGATACTTTTTTTTTCATTTTTACATAGGAAATGGAACAGAAAATTATACCTTCTTTAAACATATTTGCTTTTATAGTTTTTTGTAAGATTTGTCTGCCAGCTTAAACTGGGTGCTTAAAGGGCCATCTCAATAAATAAGATGCAACATTCATATGCCAATTTATTTTTCTAAATATCCCATATCGCTGTTTTTATCTGCAATGAATTACATTTAAATTAGATTCTTGTTTTTTGTTTGTTTATCCATAAATAAAAAGACAGAGAGGTTTAGACACAGCAGGTCCTCTTGCACTGACGGCAATATGCTGCAGTGTTCTGACTCAGCTGCAAGTATGAATAACCAAAGTGTGGTTTTAGAGGAAGCGTCATAGTTTTAGTGGCTACAATATTTTTACACACAAGAAAGAGGAGTGGGGGACAATCAGATGCGTTTAATCTGTAAATTTGGCTTTTATGTGTCACTAAATCCTACATGTTCCTTTTTTACAGGATCATAATGTTTGAATAAAAAATACAAAACAATGTCTTAAAAGTTAGAGAGGCAGGATGAGACTCAAGGGATAAAAATATGCATTCCTGACAAACACCAAAATAAAAATGGTAAAAGTCTGCTGACCCAAAAAAAAAAAAAAAAAAAAAAAAAAACTGCAGAAGAACAAACTACAAGAATAGTTTGTGTGATCATATCAATATATGTGGCCATGCTGAATGCCACAACTTTAAGTCAGGAAACCCTGAAACTTCAAGTTCCACAGCAGCATTGGGTGCTGCAGGATTAGTTTAAGCAGCAGTAAACAACACAGCAGTGGGGGTAGAAGTGGAAATATTTAAAACTGTTACCACAAAATAGTGAAATTCAATATAGAACAGCAATAGCAAGTGTTTTATAATAAGCGGTGATCCAGCAGTCGTAGTAAACATGCTAACAATTAAATAACCAAACAGATGCTTTTGTGGTTAATCTTGGTCTCCTGTAATCCAACTAATACATCCTGCATCTTAAATACTGTCTGAGATTACACAGCAGGAAAACAAAACCGAAGTGTTCAAACACATGAACACACATGTGCCTTTTGAAAAACAGACACAGTTACTATGGTCAGATGCCGATACGTTTAGATTACGTATGAAACACTAGCTAAACAAATCCTGCTTACCTTAACAGACCCAGCATATTTAATATGAAGAAAAATCTTCACATATTAACAAAACTCTACTCATACAAGGAAAGAGTGACGTTCCAGTTTTACTTATCTTGTGGTCATGTTTCTTACAAAGTCTGTAAGAAGGCTAACTTCCAGCCATCGCAAAGATTACATAATCAACAACTTAAGCTGTGAAATCTCATTGGTCAAAGATGTGCTCTTACAGAGCAGATAAGTAGATGAACAGCTCACTAGCTTTACTGCACTGTACCAACACTCTGCACGTTCAACWATACAAACACACAATCTCATTGGTGTTTTCTTATATGTTCATTCTTTAAAAGAAACAATAAGTGTTAAATCAACTGACTAAAATTAACTCAGTTTTGATTAATGCCACTTATAAAAATGTATGAACTGTCTTTTAGTTTCCCATCAAGTGAAGAACTATTAGCAGAGAAGAACTTAAGTTTCATTTGCAACATCCTATTAAGATGTCATTATACTGGTATATGAATAAGACTTACAGCATCTGGTTACTAAACTTTTGCAAAACTTCAGCAAATTTCTAAAATAATCTGGCAAATAAAATGCAAAAGTTAAAGCGATCTCAGAATCTGACAAATGTTAGTCCATCTGGGCGTTAGCCAGCTTTCAGTCAACCATCTTTGCTCAAGTCTCCGTCACTGTTGAAAACGTTTACAGTGTGGGTCATTTCATGGCAATAAGCTTATCGTTTCAGAGGTCTTACCTTGGTTGAAGCTAAGACGCCATGCACTTGGCACGAGTCTGCAGCAGGGCGTACCACAATGACAGAAAAGAGCGGCAGATGATGACAGAAAAGGAAGCAGTGGCAGTCCCTGCCCAAACAGACAGGAAGTTCGTGTGAAAGCACACACACGCACACGGAAACATGGCCTCCCAAACGATTCGTTTGAATAAATTAGCATCTTACAGTGGGGGCTTCTATGTTCGTGCCATCCAGATGGTTTAACTACGCTGATCTATGGCTGACAAACTGGGTTATTCCAAAATCACACATTTTTTAAATTTTCAACCTCCACAGGTTGAACAGAATCAAGTGGGAAACTGAAAAGGATAAAAGCCTAAAATCATGATAGCAAAATATGCAACTTTTTAGTGTTTTTGATGTGAATTATTAGCTTCTAACAGAATTTCTACAACAGTAAAGTATCATATGGGGTGTCGAGACTGTCTGAAGTTTTGTCAATGTTCAAATGTAAACAATCAAAACATGACTGTTGATTATTACAAGTTATGCTGTACACTACATGTGTCAAACTCAAGGCCCATGGCCCAGATGTGGTCCACCACAGGATTTTATGTGGCCCATGAGAGCTTCAAAGACATATTAATGTCTTAAAATAAGCAGATGCTGCTTTAAAGCCAGTGTTGACCACATAGCTACCATAATACTTATTTAACCTGCAAACTATTGGCATACTACCACTAGGTGCAGGTGCACGGGGTTCAAAAGTAGCTGGCGACATTTGCCATGTCACCATTTCACTGCATTTTTGCCAGCTATTTTTGTTGCTGCTCAGTTGTGTTTGGGAAGTGTGAATTTCCGAGTTTCACACTTCGTATTTCTGTATTATTTATTTCACATTTAGTCTGTCATACACATAGTAATCTTTTGTGTTTATAAGAAGAAACGTTAAAATGTTTCTATGCACGAAATGCCATGTAGAGCTCAGCTATTCTTTGGTGGTGGTATTCAGCTGTAGCAWTGAGACTAGGAATGTGACTCTGAGGGCCGTCATAATGCTCAAGTGGCCCTCGGTGAAAAGGAGTTTGATACACCTGCTGTAGGATTGGGCAATATTGGCAAAAAAATTAATCACGATTAATTGTGGTATTTAGCCGATGATTAATTTGACGAGTCCCTGGACGCCCTCATATCCTGGTCACATGACTAATTTAAATCACTGTAGTGGGAAACATTTGCTCTTCATAAAAAAAATCTGTTCCAAATTGTGTCAAAAGTACAGACTTCAGACTATATATCATTTTTTAAATTGTGTTGATAGACCAAGTAAAAACTGAGTTATGATAAATAAATTACAGAACTTTTTTTTAAATGTTTCTCATATTTGAAGCAGACTGACCGAGGAAATCTCCAGTCTGCCTGCCTGGTGGCATTAATTGTATTAATCGTCAAGTGCCAAAAAGTAATCGATTAATGTTTTTCTGCTGATTAATTGCACACGATACGATTATGCCCAGCCCTAACCTGTTGTAGACTTTTGGTAGTGATTGATACGTGTTTAGTGGCTATTTTATCATAGGTGACACAAAATACCAATTTAGCAGCCAGTTTCTGCTCTGGGAGCATAGCAGATTATTTTCAGCAACATGTGGAAGCTCACGYGTATGGTATGACATTTTTACATTTAATCTGCTTCAGCATACTTACATTCCAGTTATTTGAAATCAGTTTACGACTAGATATATTAGTTATTTTTGTTTTTAAGTGAGAAATATATCAGATTCAACTAATGCAAAAAAAGAAAAAAGAAAAACTGCAGACTTATTCATGTTCTATCAACAGAGGTACAGTGGGGAARATAAGTATTTAGTCAGTCACCAATTGTGCAAGTTCTCCCACTTAAAAAGATGAGAGAGGCCTGTAATTGACATCATAGGTAGACCTCAACTATGAGAGACAAAATGTGAAAAAAAATTTGAGAAAATCATTTTGTCTGACTTTTAAAGAATTTTTTTGCAAATAATGGTGGRAAATAAGTATTTGGTCAATAACAAAAGTTCATCTCAATACTTTGTTGGATATCCTTTGTTGGCAATGACAGAGGCCAAACGTTTTCTGTAAGTCTTCACAAGGTTGGCACACACTGTTGCTGGTATGTTGGCCCATTCCTCCATGCAGATCTCCTCTAGAGCAGTGATGTTTTGGGGCTGTCGGCGGGCAACACGGACTTTCAACTCCCTCCAAAGGTTTTCGATGGGGTTGAGATCGGGAGACTGGCTAGGCCACTCCAGGACTTTGAAATGTTTCTTACGAAGCCACTCCTTTGTTGCCCTAGCAGTGTGCTTGGGATCATTGTCATGCTGAAAGACCCAGCCACGTTTCATCTTCATTGCCCTTGCTGATGGAAGGAGGTTTGCACCCAAAATCTCACAATACATGGCCCCATTCATTCTTTCATGTACACGGACCAGTCGTCCTGGTCCCTTTGCAGAGAAACAGCCCCAAAGCATGATGTTGCCACCCCCATGCTTCACAGTTGGTATGGTGTTCTTTGGATGCAACTCCGCATTCACTTTCCTCCAAACACGACGAGTTGTGTTTTTACCAAATAGTTCTACTTTGGTTTCATCTGACCATATGACATTCTCCCAATATTCTTCTGGAACATCCAAATGCTCTCTAGCAAACTTCAGACGTGCCTGGATATGGACTGGCTTAAGCAGGGGGACACGTCTGGCACTGCAAGATCTGAGTCCCTGGCGTCGTAGTGTGTTGCTGATGGTAGCCTTTGTGACATTGGTCCCAGCTTTCTGCAGGTCATTCACTAGATCCCCCCTTGTGGTTCTGGGATTTTTCCTCACCGTTCTTGTGATCATTTTGACCCCACGGGCTGAGATCTTGCGTGGAGCCCCAGATCGAGGGAGATTAGTAGTGGTCTTGTATGTCTTCCATTGTCTGATTATCGCTCCCACAGTAGATTTCTTCACACCAAGCTGCTTGCCTATTGCAGATTCAGTCTTCCCAGCCTGGTGCAGGTCTACAATTCGGTTTCTGGTGTCCTCCGACAGCTCTTTCGTCTTCACCATAGTGGAGTTTGGAGTGTGACTGTTTGAGGTTGTGGGCAGGTGTCTTTTATACTGTTAACGACTTCAAACAGGTGCCATTAATACAGGTAATGAGTGGGGGAAAGAGGAGCCTCTTAAAAAAGAAGTTACAGGTCTGTGACAGCCAGAAATCTTGCTTGTTTTGTAGGTGACCAAATACTTATTTTCCACCATTATTTGCAAAAAAATTCTTTAAAAGTCAGACAAAATGATTTTCTCAAATTTTTTTTCACATTTTGTCTCTCATACTTGAGGTCTACCTATGATGTCAATTACAGGCCTCTCTCATCTTTTTAAGTGGGAGAACTTGCACAATTGGTGACTGACTAAATACTTATTTTCCCCACTGTAATTGAATAGTAGCAATTACTTAATTATCCAGTATTAATGGATGCACTAAACAACAGAGGGATATTTTTAGTTGAAGCATTCGTTACACAGATCCTATGATTAGCACAAAACCAGCAAGAATGGAAAACCGTCAGAAATAAATGGATCCCACAGCAACAACCACCTGAGAAAACACTGCTCTGAGACCATCTTATGATTTCCTTCTTGCTACAACCAGAGGCTTTATCTACGGGTGCAGAGAAGGAAGCAGTTTGGACTTTAATTCTCTCAAATCCTCCCCATCCAATATGAGGCAGCCTAAAGCAGCCTCGCTCAGCACATTTGTTCTCCTGAACCCCTCCTCCATTTTCAAACACCACTGCATGGCGACATTTCCACTTTCACTGCAAAAATACACTTTTTTTTGCATCTTACAAGCACACCTAACACACCAGTAAATGGTGAAATGCAGTATTAGTTGTGTAATGGCTTATAAGGCCACGTCACACTTTTTTTTAAAACCTCAAGATAATCCTCCATATACAGAGCACAATGGTGAATATGACAGAAGCATTCTCTGACAGACAATGGAAGAATTGATTCAGATTCTGGGATCGTGTGCAAAATAAAGACACAAAAGATGCAGTTTATTTAAAAATATTGTAAAAAGCATGTGACATTATAGCTGTACTTCTAAATTTAATCTGAGACAAACATGTTAGGTACACAAACTGACTTCATGAGAAGTGAAAAGGAAACAAAACTAAATAAAAATCAACCCAAATATGCTGCTTCTGTTAGATTTGGAGCAATAAATTCTTACAAGTATATTTCTCTGAGAAAATCTGAAAATAATAAAGACATAAAGACAGTGTTTAACAAAGCCACTTGCAGGAACCAATTGAAATGCAGTATAATCACAATTAGCCGACGGAGCCAAGTTTGTACGATAAACATAATAGCCACCGACTGCACAAGGTGGGGCTTTGTTACTGGTCCAGTGGTGCTGGAKCCTGACTGCTGACACTGGTATTTCACAGACAAAGAGGGGTATACAGCATGGGAGAGCACAGTGAAGAGTGGAAAAAAAGAGAGAGAGCATGAGCTAAAGAGAGAACAGGGACAAAAGCAGTGGAAAAGTGGAGAGAAGAAGAGGAAAGACAGGGCAGAGGGCAGCACAACAGTGAGAAAACATTAGTGGATRAAGGGATAATTTTGCATGCGTGTGAGGTGAGGATGAATGTAAAACTCACAAAAAAAGGGGGTCTTTATGATCGTCTCACAAGCCTGTACAGCTGTGTAGGGATGTTTGTCTGAACGAGTGGGAAAAAAAATGAACAAAGAAAATAAAAACAAAAGAAAACATCCTTGGTAACGAAGGGCAAATGGAGGAAAAAAGGGCAAAGGAGGAAAAAAAATGTGAAGAGTGGGAAGGAGCAGGCTASAGTGGAATGTGGAGAATCGCCCTCAATAAAACCCACAATTGGTTGGTAAATGTTTTAAGTTTGTGGCCAGTGAAATATGACTCAGACCGTTGGAACACATGAATCAATGGTGCRCTCTGGCATCAAACATTTACCCCGAATTATTTCTGAAACAGAAGAAAAGTCTGATGTAGAGTTGTTTAGTTTAGCAGCTGCCTAATAAAAGTCTGTTTATACCAATGTAAACCAGATGTTACCTTTGCATTTTCTTTTTCTTTGCTAATAAAGAGCTGTTTTGTCTACGTTGAGATCTGCAACTCCACCATGCCTTCATGGGCATCTCCTGCCCAAGATTAGGCAATGCTAATGCTAAATTGCTGAAGATTTCTTCCTAACTTGTTTTGTATTAAATATGTTAGAACTTTTGAGCACTTTATWAAAATGTTCCTTTGTGTTGGTTTAAAATATGCTAAGCAGAACAAGTTGTAGTGGGATTCTTGAACAAATATGATGTTTTCCACACTATAAAAAATGAAATGTTGGATTTACTTAACCATGTTATGTTACCTGGTTCCACTTAACTGAGTTGAGTAAATTCAAAGCAGTATACCAGTTTTTTAGCCAAAGAACATGAGCATGTTGCTTTGAATTTACTTAACTCAGTTAAGTGGAACCAGGTAACATAACATGGTTAAGTAAATCCAACATTACATTTTTAGAGTGCATGTTTTAATTTACACTTCTTCAGTCTCATGTTGACTGCTTTGTGTCTCTCTGTGTGACCTTTGTAATAAGTCTGGTATTMGGTAAACAGACTCCTTGAGAAGCTGGAGCTGTTCCTTGGGTAGTTTATTGCAGCCTATGCTGCTACAACAAACTAACTCGGACCTAACACAAGTTTTTGACTTTGTCACATGATGTCATGTGCAAATTCCGCCAGAACTTGAACGGCACACAGTCAAAAATGATGATTTTCAGGGAAAAACACKTTCCTACTTCATATAAGGAATAATAATTAGATAAGACACACGTCTTTTACACTCAGGCTACTATAGTCAACCCTAGAGATAATTCATATTGCTGCAGTAAAATTTGTTTTAAAATATACAAAAACTCGCCTAATTCTTCTTTGCCTACAGCACGTTTTTTTTTTTTTTTTTACAATATTTGGCAACTGATAGCTAAATGAGCACAGGAAATGTATTTAAAGTAACATTTTACAAATTACAGTGGTCCTTGAACGCAGCAGGTAGTTCAACAAAACATCATACACACTCACACAAACAAACAAATAAATAAATAAACAACGTGACGTAAACTGCGAATTTTGTTTAGCCCAAGTCCAATGGCATTAGACGAAATTAAAACTCGTTTACTGCTCGTTCATAACTTACCTCGTTACGCTGTGAAGCCTGGCGTGAGATAAACAAAACAACAGTTGCCAGCCGGCAGGCAACTGTCAAATTCTCAGGAAATGATATAATCCTCTCTTCTGAAAACGCAATCCTCCGAACTTCGCTTAAAACATCGCCATCACGCGCAAATATGTGCTAAAAATACACAAAGCGCAAGTTTTCTTTTGATAAATTCCCACAAGTTAGGTATTATTTTGGGTCTCATGACCGCAGACTGCAGCGGTGACGGAAACCAAGCGGTGCTCGCGCTGCAGGCGCTCAACACATTAGTGACTGTCAATCACACCAGATGAGACAACTTCCGGTAGAGGTTTTCAAAATAAAGTTCTTCATTGTTATAACCCGCTAACAGAGTTCAACAACAACAACAACAACAACAAACAACAACAACAACAACAACAACAACAACAACAACAACAAAGTAATGGTGTCTACGGAAGCCGAGAGCGGCCGTTTTACACTCATAATTATTTTCCATTGTTTTCTTGTTATCACTAAAAAAAAATGGAGTGTTTTCTCGAGTCAGCAAGTTWATTTCCAGATGGTTTTCATCTTGTGTATCATTCAGTAATCATGGAGATGGCCTGGTCCCATCGATGATTTTTTCTTTATGCTAAAAATATAAAGGCTCTGGAAATGTTTTGAACAGAAAACCACCTTTGAGCAGTTTTTAAAATTGCATTTTTTTTTACTTCATACACAACCATGTTGATCATAGACATTATATACATATAAAAACACTTTGAAAGTTATACAAATCGTATGGTGCCTATCTAGCGATATTAGACAAAATAAATAATGTGTGGCCACACTAACTTCCTTCAGTAGCAGGATGGTTATATGGAGCTGACAGTTTTAGAGTGACACTGTTTATTTATGAGTAAAAATAAATATACTCTGCTTTTGTGTTCAAGAGTAGCTTTGTTGTTATTATCAGGACGACTGTAATGTCAAAAAAAATACTATGGCAGGCTGGATGAGCTTGATGAAGCTGGACATGTCACTGTGGGTAATGCAACATGAAATAGGGTCTCTCAACACTTTTAAAAAGCCATTCTACTCTCTGAGCTGCTATTAATTTGCTAGGTGCAGTAGGCTTAGTTCACATGTATGGCCTTGGCCATCCATTGTATGTAAATTTGATTAGTCCCTTACAAGCTTCTTTGGATCAACACTTGCTCACGTGCACAGGGACAGTATGCTGAAATAAGAGTAACGTTTGTTTATTTCATATTGAGATCGTAATAGTAACATGTTACATAAATATAACATGGAGGTAAGTTGCAGTTTGTGAGACAACAACTCTATTTTGTGTTTTCTTATGATTTTATAGTCACAAAGTCATTTTTTAGCAGCAATAGTTACCTGAGGGATCCAGCAGATCCCTTCAGTCATTTCATACAATCTGAATGAAGTTTGTCTTCTTACTATAAAACTCCCAAAATAAAGAAACTCTGCACAAACATCGCTAAGAAAAGTAACTAAAATTTTCAGAGAATGTAGAGTAAAAAGTATGATCTTTATTGTTAAAGTTAGGTATAAACAAAATTTTTCCCAAAAAATGCTAAAAGTACAAATTTTAAAAAACAGTGAGCACAGTACTTAAAGTGATCCACGGTTGTTTGTAACATTGAACTTTATCTGATAAACATTTATTCTAAATGCAAAATAATGTCTGTAAAAATAAGTAAGGTTGTTTAACTTTTATCATTTTTATATTCTTAAAAATATATTACACGGGCCAAGCCATTTTACCGGGCAAATGATGACGTCGACTAGGTCATCGGTGCGAGGCTGCTAGCAAGCTTTATTTTTTATCTACCCTGAAAGTTGTTAATCCTGGACAATGTCTGTCCCTTTCTCTCCTTTCCAGGAGGAGAAAAGAAAGGCTTAATAAATAGACAGACAAAGTCAGCTGTCAATCACAATAAGCAGCAGCAGTGCAGTCCATCCTTTTACATTTATCCATTATGGCTCCACTCCTTAAGTTGCACGAAGCAAACAAGCTGTTTTTTTACCACACAATTTTATTTGAAGACCTCTAAATCTGGGGTTTGTAGTTATTTGTAGTACATGTACGCTGACATTAAAATAATAGGTGTTACAATAAACTAAAAATACTTCTGTAAAAAGCAATTTAACAAAGTTTATTTGGTAGAAATGTATTAATAAAACAAAGGGAGTAAAAATCTTAAATGCTCTAACTTAGGTCTTAAATGAGTCCATGTTGAAGTCAGGATCTAAACAAAGTCCTCCAATAGTGCTGAAACATGTCTACCCAGTGTATATAAGGCATCACAATTGGGATAAAGTTATTCTTCTTACAACTGGTAGCTGCTTATCTGCATTTGCTGAATAGTAGTGGTGTGTAATTCCACAATTTGTCAGTGGAACAAAATAAACTCAAACTACACAAACATGAACAAAAAAGTAACTAGTGACTAAAGCCTTAGGAGGAATGTAGTGGAGTAAAAAGTATGATTGTTATCATTAAAATATATGTTGTGTGTGAATGACAATAAATGATTCTGAAATTCTGACGTTTTCCCAAAACAAGAACTACTCTAAAGTAGCCTATAAATGCTCAAAAACAGTACTTCCAGTACTCAAGTAAATTTACTTCATTACTGACCAGTTGTGATTCTGAGACAGGTATTATTTGGTCTACAACATCTGTTTGTGTTGAAATGGTCTCCTTAGTTCTACCCCATAAGGCCAAGTTGTCAGCAGCGTACTTTTAACAGGATAGATGGCGCCCTCTAGCGGCAGTAGCTGGTCCTAACTCAAAATTTTGACATTTCTTAACAATGCATTGCATCTGTGTGACAAAAGTTATTATATTCTCTTTGAAACCAGTTTAAAACTGTTTATTATCACCTATTAGGGKGACTAGTTCAGCATTTTTCCTTTGTCCCAGTGTTCCACAAGATGAAACAATGTCCCACATYTGACTGAGTCAAATCATGAAAAGTCAGAAAAAGGAATGACAATCAACAATTGTTATTTAGTGGCTGCAAAATGCTTCTTCATTTAATAATAAAAATGCACAGAACACAGCATTTAGATGAACGAACAACAAGGAGTATTAATTAGACAAAAATATGCAAAGAATTGCACGTAAAGATCGTCTTAAGAGCATTTTCATTGGTAGAGTCTGTTGTTGATTTAACATACAGTTCCACATCCTTAATAAAAAGAAAAAAAACATGTTTTTTTAATAATACATTTACATTTATGTAGAATTTACCCAAAATAATTAACAAGTTTATCGTAAAAAAGCATTTAGCATCCTTTCTAGAAAAACAAAATAAAATATTTTCCCAACGTAATGGAAAATCTCTCAAAATATGGTTATTAATAAACCTACTAAACTCCTTCCAAAACTTTAATGTGAAAGGGCAGTGCCAAAAAASACCTGTCACAGTTTCTGGAAGGCCATCACAAAAAATAGAATTAATATTTATGTCTCTTTTAAATTTTACCATAGAGTATGTAGCAGGGTAAATTTTATGAAGAATTTTAAATGACACTTCCTTCACTTTATTTACAATTAAATATCTATGGGGATCATTTAGATATTTTTCCAGATGATATTGGGGATAAAACGGCTCCAATAAGAAGATGTTACATAAGGAGTAGAGACAACGATTTGTTGAAACAACTTGTGTTTTCCTTTTTTGTTCCTACCGTGGACCTGTGAAAAGCAGATTTTTCCCACTGATGACTCAGCTGRACCAGGGAGGGCAACTGGAACAGATAGAGAATTGTTAGTGTTTTTAACAGCATCAAAGYGCCTGAGGGTATAGCATTAACAACCAGTGAGAATTCCTGGAGACTAACTGGAAGATTATATAGTGAGYGAAATTCATTKTAACWGAGTAGTCGTCCCTCTCCATTAACCAGCTGAGCCACCAGTAGGATCCCATTTCTAACCCAAGTCTCAAGAAAGAGTGATCTGTTTTTAAATAAAATATCTCTGTTCCAAGATATTTGTGTGGTGAGAAGTTGTGTTTGGAAATGAGGGTCCATGCCAAGACCACCTGCTTATGGAAGGATGAAAGTTTTACAGGAAGTTTTTCAACATCATAATTACAATTTAAAATTAAGTTAAAGTCACCAAAGTGCAGGGAAATGTGACAAGGTTCCAAACAGAAGTCGGATTCTTAAGAAAACGTTTAGCCCAATTAATTCTGATTAATCTTGAATGTGTTATTTAGGATCCAGAAGTCCAGAAAACTGAGCCCACCTGATTCGTAATCATTCATAATAACAGTTTTTCTAATATAATGTGTACGGTTTTTTCATATAAAATTAAAGAGCATGCACGGTCAATATCTTTACTAATTTTGTTATCTAAATATAAGGAGAGAGCAGCATATGCCATTCTGGATAATCCTTCAGCTTTGGTAATCAACATTCTACCTTACAGAGAAAGGTCCCTCTGCAACCAGCGGTTTAGTTTATTTTTGGTTTTCTGTATAGTTGGTGTAAAATTAGACGAGCATCTTAATTTTTGGTCTTTAGCAATTAAAAGTCCTAAATAAGTGATTTCTTGTTTAACAGGGTTGTTAAAGATAACATTTGCTAGACAGTTTTTAATTGCTAGCAATTCACTTTTTTTTAGTTTAAGCATTAACCGGAAGCCTTGGTAAAGGCACTAATCACATCTAAGGCAATTTGGATCTGGTTTTTATTCCTCAAAAAGACTGCAGTGTCATCATAATCTCTTTGTTAGTTACAGTGATTCMTTGTACAGCACTATTAGAGATATGAGTTGTAAGAATTTGTGAACAAAGTAAGAACAAATATGGTGAAATAAGACATCCTTGGTGAATACCACATTTTAGGTCAAATCCATTGGTGGAGCCATTTGGCATGTTAATAGAACAATAGCTATTGGAGTATAAGGYTTTGACAGCGTTACAAAACATATTTCCAAAACCAAATTTTTCTAAAGACTGAAAAATAAACTGATGTTCGTTTGTGTCAAATGYTTTATAAAAATCCAAGAAGAGAATATAACTATCATCAGGTACCAAATCTGAGTAATCAAGTAGGTCTAAAACTAGTCTGATTGTTAGAGATGTGTCTTTCACATAAAGCCTACTGTGTCTCATCAATAACTGCATCTAAAACCTCTTTAATTCTATTAGCAATATTAAAGCCATAATTTTATAATCATTATTATTAAGTAAAGTTATAGGTCTCCAATTATCAATAAAAAGTMGGTCTTTATTTGGTTTTGGAATGAGTGTTATAAGTCCTTGAGTAAGTGTAGGATGGACAGTGTTACTCTCCGTACTTTCTAGGAATACCTGTAAGAGAAAYGGAGCTATATGATTCTCTCAGCAGATAAACTGTCTGTGATTTGTTAGCCTTAAGTGCAGTAAYGCATTAGATTTCCTCCACTGTAAAAGGGCTGTCACAATCATTTCTATCTTCCACATTATTAGTTTTTAATTTTTGAATATAGTTAAGAAATTTTATTGAAATTCTATCATTGAATTTTGAGCTGTATAAGTCAGAGTACAATTTGGCAAGGTTGAAATTTGTATAGGATTGTTGGAAATAGAGTCATTAATGTTTAGTTGATAAATAAAATTTGTTTTTGATCTGTGTTGTTCCAAGTCTGAAAAAGTAAGCAGAATTGTGCGCTCCCTCTTCGAGCCATCTCTTCCAGGACCTGATAAAGGCACCTTCAGATTTGTGTTGGTATAAGCTGTCCAGTTTGTTTTGAAGTTCTATTAAATTTAACTTATCTTCCTCCAAGATTTTTTCTGGGGATTTCTGGTGGTTACGTGTAATCTTCTTATTTACTGCTTGCTCTTTTGCTTTCCTCAATTTAGAAACTCGACTCCCATATTGTCAACATTGCCAGCATTGTTTCAACTTTGAAAAGTTCCCATCTGCTGCAGAAGGACCTCTCCCTGTTAGACTTGTTCCAATAATAAATGATTAATTTATTTATTTGAACTTTAACCATCTCATGTTTTAACAAGGAATTATTCAGTTTCCAGTAAGAGCATTTGTAACATTTATTAATAGCACAAATTTGGATACTTATATGAAAAGCTCTATGATCTGTAAGAGGGGTGGCAAGTATAAGAACAGCAATGCTATTTTCATTAGTTTGATTAGAGACGAGCCAGAAATCAATATGAGATTGTTTGGATCCTGTTTTATTGCTACAGATAAACATTTTGTCATCTGGAAATTTTTCTCTCCAAATATCCATAATATTAAATTTCTCCATAAGGTTTTTTTAAAATTTGTATTGTCTGAGGTCTGCTGCCTTGGAGGCCATCTATCGATTGTATTATCTAAGGCAATATTGAGCCTGGGTATTTGGAAAGCAAGAATGTAATTCTTTCATCTAATGCAGTAGTGTCCAAAAGGGCCGGTGTCCTGCATGTTTTAGGTGCTGCTCTGGTTCAACACAGCTGAACCTGAGGAGTGCCTAATTATTAGGCTTTTTGCAGACCTTGATGGCATACCGAGGAGGCCTACTGAAACATACAACTACAGTATATTTCAGAGTTAGAGTGAAGTTTAGTGAGTTATTTTTAGTGTCTTTGGCTACGTTCACACTGCAGGCAAATCCAACCCAAATCCGATTTTTTTGACCCATCTGACTCATATCTGATTTTTTTATGACAGTCTGAACGCGACAAATCCGATTTTTTCTAATCCGACCCAGGCCGTGTCAGTATGTGGTTTTAAATCGGATATATATCTGATGTTTTCAAAGTGACTGCAGTGTGAACGCTCATGTCACATTCATCTGACTTTTTCATCAGGAGGAGGGGGTGAAGGATCGATAAGACACTAACCTCAAGTCTCGCTGTTTAAATCTGTAGCTCCGTGTGTTTACAGCTCCAAAACACAAGTCCAGTTGCTTCATCTTTTTACTWTTCATTTTCCACGTAGATAGTATGATAATAACGATGTCCAACCTGGGTTGCGGAGAGTATCGATCCTAAAGTTCGATACTCGGTCGATACTTTTTTCCAGCTCGTAGTTTTGTTCAAAAAAAAAAAAAATGCTTCACTGGAGCATCCCGGTCAGAGGCAGGTTCAGATATAAACACTGAACTAAAGAAGCAGGTCAGATAATTATTTAATCGGCTCTGATTAAACAACTTCCAATTCGATGTGCTGTCCATGCTAGCTCTGTAAACAAACAAGCCGGCTGATGAGACGTCACGTCTTTTACTGCGCATGCGTCACATCAGTGCTGTGTAGCGTTCACACGGGGGTCTGATGCAGGTCACATTTAAAATGTAATGTGAACKTTCACACAAAAAGATCGGATTTTTTCAAAAAATCGGAACTGAGCATTAAGACATGCAGTGTGAACGTAGCCTTTGATACAAAAAATTATGCGATGAACGTGGAGCTCTAGCTGCAGCTGCGGACAGATGGACTGAGTCGCAGTCAGAACCTTTGCAGAGAGGAGGGAAGCTCAAAGACAGAGATGGAGGAAAAACAGTCTGAGACGGAGTGAGGACTTTGACGAWGAAGTAAACGATTCACTATTTTGATTATAAGAGGAAAGAGAAGACGATGAAGCATCGAGCGGACTACCGGGGAGATCTTCGGTCCGGAGGTGCTCACTCTGTGCTAACTACAGCAAACAGCAGATGAAAGCCTGTAAACTTTTGGAGGCATAGGACTTTTTATTGAGCAGGTGGATCCACATCCTCAGTACCAAACGGCTCCACAATCCTTTGCCAGTGTTTGTTCTGATATTTATTATTTTCTAAATTGAAATTATTACAATTTTATGAGTTGGTTGATTATAATATCTTGCAGATTATGCATAAGGCTCATACATTTTTAACTTTAAACATTCAGTTATATTTTGTTAAGAGAGAAAGTTTATATAATGTTAAGGGACTTGAGATGTTTATAAAACCTAAAATTCGAACAAATTTGAAGGATCCATGTACTTCAGTTCCAGGAATAAGACTGTGGAATAATCTGGAAAGTGATTATAAAAAAGTTAAAATAAGTTTAATGTATATCAAAAGTTGTTGTTTGAAAAGGAATTGAAGTTTTTATTTTTGTTTTGTTTTTTTGATTATTATTGTTTGAAATTAATTTTGGGGAAAAAAGGGGCAGATATAAGATTTATTTCTTCTTTCTGCCTCCTTTCATTTCAAGTGTGATTTTTTTTCTTTATTGTGTATAAAATTTTTTATATGAAATGAATAAATAAATTAAAAAATATATTTTTTATGTTAAGATTATGCTAGCATTAGCCGCTATAATGTCAACAAACATCCAGCACCTATAACAACACAGAACGCGGACAGCCTAAATCCAGAAGAGATCCACATTAAACTACCAGTAACACTCACTATTAAATAAATRACCATTTTATAACAACCTACTGCTTTATAAACAAACCCCTAAAACAAGTTAGCAGCTAACATACCTCAGAATGAAGTGGTTCGGATTAGGGTAGACACCTGCATCCTGCTCCTCCAGACCGCAGATGGTTTAAAATCCCCTTTTTACATCGTCGTTCTGTGAGCTTTTTACATTTTTCATCTTTGTGTATGACAGTTGTTCTTCATAGGCAGAATCCTGCGGAATTATTCATCAGAAAAACATTTGATGGTTATTATTGGGCACTTGGCGTGGTACTGACAGCCTCAGCAAGTCTTTAGGTTCTGTTGAAAACTCCTCCATCTTCATCATACGAGTCATGCCTGACATATTTGTGAACTAATTGCTGTTATCTAAATTGAAATAGGATCAAAATCCATACAATACACTCTCTACAATAGTGTCATCCATAGACATTTTGCTTTCTGCCCTCCAGTGGAAATCAGTGGAAATCGCTCCGCCTTCGAAACCACGTGACTGAAAACCAGCTAATCCGACTCCTTGCAGTTAGCTGTCAACAAGACATTTTTCTCCTCTCAGCATCACACACTTCTCTTTACATCTTTCACTTCAGCGCGTATACGGTCAATAGTCTTTGATCTACGACGTGTTCTCTTTCACCATGCCTTCGATGTCAACAGATGTGATTTTTATTGATGCAGACAAAGTGGAAATTATCTCGTTTGAGGCCGATGAGTCAGCGTTACTGCGTTCGTGCATCACCATCTTAGGAGCTGGCGATTTCGGATGCGTAACAGGTAGGGCCGAAAACCCGTCCTTTTCCCTCTTCATTCAATGTGATTGTTATCGGAGTGACAGCGTTTTCTTTTCTTTTTTTTTCTCCGAGTGACAGCGTAGCTGCAGTTGTCGAACGCGTTGCCGGAAGTAGCATGATTAGCATTAGCATTCCCTGATGTTAGCCTGGATTTGGACGTCTCTAGTCCTTTTTTTGCTCCCTTCTGGTTCGGCATGCTGCTGTAACTTTCTCTATGACTGTTGTGTCTATTAGCTTTGAAAGAGCGGTTAGTGCCAAAGATAATATAATCTAGGTTTTACCGCGTTTCATGAACTCTTTGTGCAGTCCTCGGTAGAGGGCTTCCGGCCTTCCGCTCACTCCGCAGTGTTGCCAGATGGGAAATGTTGAATTTATCAGCAGCTCAAAATTATCGTATTTTGAGGAAAATTGTCGTACACACCCATGTTACATTCTAGAGAGGCTCAAATTTACAAATACATGCTGCTCAGCTCACTCTGTATTCAACAAACTGCACATTATTTTGTTTATAATAAAGTTACTGTTGGGTTTCTAAAAATTTTCACTAAAAGTTTTAGAACACTAAAAAATTTATTGTTCTCATAATTTGTTTCATGGTCTGCAAAAAAACCAAAGTATTTACACATTTTTACACATCATAGTACATAAGACTTGTTAATTTGATTTCTGTTTTTATTTCAGCATTTTCATGTAAACAAACTCTGACAACTTTTGATGAGTTTTTGATTTCTTTTATTTCTCTTAAAAGTCATCATGGAATCTATTGGAAACACAAAACAGTACAATTAGGATGTAGCTAGGTGAGTGAGTGTCAGACAGACAGTCAGCCATTTAGTCAGTAATGCTGGACTACAAACCCTGCATCCATGGCACAAAAGTGAGTGCAGTACCCCGGAGCAATGCCTTCACTGTAGAAGACCCTCAGTTGTCCTCTTTTGTCACTGCCCCAGAAACCTGCACCACAGTCTTTAAATCATTCTCCACAGCTCAAGTAGACAGAAATGACATAATGTTTTCTGTCCTGAGCCTGAACGTCTTTGGAATATTTCTTCCAGTCAACAACACCTGCAGTTGTAACAAAGACATGATTAGATCACTGAGCAGAGCACACTATTTTATAAAACAGCAGTTTCTTTGGACGAGATGAGGATTAAATTTAAAACTGTCATGTGGATAAATAGGTAAACGTAGTGCTTTGATTAAAATGGTTTCAAAAATWGCTTTTTGTCCAAAAAAACTGAATAGATGCCATGTAAATGTATAATTTCAATGACCTGTCTGAAATATAATCATAAGAAACATTTTGAGCACTTTTTTGAGCATTAATAGAAAAACCGATTTTGAAGACAAATGCCTTAAAATTTAGAGATATTCCCTGTGAGCTATAAAAGTTTTTTTTCTTTCCAGCTGTGAAATCTCAATATTCAAATACTATTTGAGGTTTCCTCACAAACTACACAAATATTTATTGAACACTAATTTCCATTTTATTGTTTTCCTGGAATGCAAATCCACATCTGTTGCAAACTATCCCTTTTCTAACATTTAAACAAACAAAACTTTTCGGGAAGTACTTCTTTTAGTGCATGCGCATTTGAGCTGAAGGTTCTGATACGAAACAGATCAAGACACGTGTATTTAAAATGGCGAGTTTGAAATTTAATTTAACAAAACAAAACTCAGGGTTCACCGCTCTGCACTCCCTCACTACAAACAGATGACGGAATTAATAAAAAACTTCAGTTACTTAAAAATAATTGGTGGATTAACTATGAATCCATCAGCATAACACAAGATACAAGAAAAAAAAAACATGTAAAGCTCACAAAGATAATAAAAATAACCTGTTAAACATGTAAGTCCGAAAATTAACTTGATGGATGAAAATTGCATTACCGTCATGCCTCCGAGCATATTCACAGATGCGGTGAAAGCTAAGTGAAAAAAAAGAAGTACAACTAACCAATCAGTGTTTACGCTTTAGACACGCCTACTCTTGTGACACGCCCACTTTGATTGAGTTTCTGGTCCCCACCTGTCGTTTTGCTCCTCAGCATGGCTGCCTAAAAATGCTGCAGGATTTCTCAAACATGCATGAATGAGTCAAAGCAAGGCTTTGGGCATGTTTTTTTTATGAGAGTATAACATTATAACATGATATAAAACTCAAAAAAGTTGATTTTACATGATAGCCGCTTTAAAGCTACTCTAAAACATTTTAATTTGTTTTTCAACAGCTGCCTCTTGTTAAAACTAAGCAGCAACTGATGTCTATTTTTGCTTTGCTCTCACTGGTCAGTCATAGAAATGGTTCCTTTTACCAATTTAGTTTCAGGTTTTCTGACATGATGTTTTGACAGTAAAGCAGTGAAATTGACAAAACAAGTGACGTGAATATAAAGTTACAATTGTTCATACTGTTTATGTTTTCAGTGCTTCCTGCTGATGTTCAGCAGTTGGTGTTGATTTCAGAAGATGCTACTGAAGAAAGGAGGGCCAGTGTGTACCAGCAGAATCCAGAACTCCTCCACATAAGGAAGGAGGAGGAACTCTCCACCAGCCTGAAGGATGAACAGCTCAATGTGGAAGAGGAGACTTATGCCACCAGGTCTCCATCCACTGCAGGTCCTTTGAAGAGCGATGGTGATGAAGACAAACCACAGTTGTCACAGGTTCATCAACACAAAGTGGAAGCAAAAGATGTTCCAACACAGAAATCATTTAGATGTGATGACTGTGGCAAAACATTTAACAAAAAAGCTTATCTGAACAAACATAAAGTAATCCACAGAGAGGTGAAACTGTTTGGTTGTGAACTTTGTGGACGTAGATTTAGCAGTCAAACATATTTAAGCATACACATGAGAGTCCACACAGGACAGAAACCTTTTGCTTGTGATGTTTGTGAGCAAAGATTTACTCAAAAGTCAACTTTAACCTCACACATGAGGATCCACACAAGACAGAAACCTTTTGCTTGTGATGTTTGTGAGCAAAGATTTAGTCATAAGTCAACTTTAAACGCACACGTGAGGATCCACACGGGACAGAAACCATTTGTTTGTGATGTTTGTGAACAAAGATTTACTCACAAGCCAAATTTAATCTCACACATGATGATCCACACGGGACAGAAACCATTTCTTTGTGAAGTTTGTGAACAAAGATTTAGTCTAAAGTCAAATTTAAACAGACACATGAGCATCCACACAGGACAGAAACCATTTGCTTGTGAAGTTTGTGAACAAAAATTTAGACTAGCATCCACACAGGAGAGAAACCATTTGCTTGTGAAGTTTGTRAACAAARWTTTAGTYKTAARYCAMYTTTAAACWCACACATGAGGATYCACACAGGACAGAAASCATTTGCTTGTGAWGTTTGTGAACRAMGWTTTAGSCAWAARWCACATTTAAACGCACACATGAGGATCCACACAGGACAGAAACCATATGCTTGTGATGTTTGTGAACAAAGATTTAGTCTAAAGTCAAATTTAAACAGACACATGAGCATCCACACAGGAGAGAAACCATTTGCTTGTGAAGTTTGTAAACAAAAATTTAGTCTAAAGTCAATTTTAAACAGACACAAGAGCATCCACACAGGAGAGAAACCATTTGCTTGTGATGTTTGTCAACAAAAATTTAGGCTAAAGTCAATTTTAAACAGACACGTGCGCATCCACACAAGACAGAAACCATTTGCTTGTGAAGTTTCTGAATAGGCACACGAAGATCCACACAAGAAAAGCAGTGGTTTCCAATGACTAGAACACACACGAGAACCCAAACAGAAGGGAGAACAGTTCAGATGTGAACATTAAGAAATGTTCTGAAGACTCATAAGAGTTCATACACACATTTGAAACTTAAAGGTTTCAGGATTTGTTGGTATCATTGGGCCTCATGCAAGAACATGTTTGTATTCTTTTCCTAAATTTCTCTTACTTTTGTTTGTACAAAGGGTTCGTACGAACATGTCACGTCAGATTCAACAAACTCTTCTATCTTCAGGAAAAGKGTGTAAATGAATTCCACCTGTTTTATCCAGCTGCTCGTGCACGCGAGAGGAGATTAGCATAATTACCACCCCAAAAACACCGTATAAGGCTATGTTTCCTGCCTCAGATATCAGGAAGAGTCCATGCAAGAAAATGACAGCAAAAATTAAAAAGAAGAACTTTACGAGTTCAGAGAATGAAGTCCGTCTGTCAGAGATCCAGAAAAGAAAATCTGTCATTTTTTGCAGGTCAGCTGTGGAATAAAAAGAGCTAAAAAGAGCTGCTAAAAGTATAAACAACTGTGTTAAATCATTTTCATTTATTCAGAAGCCGCCGTAGTGCATCATAC